CCACCCAGGGCCCCTCGGGACCACCCAGGACCCGCCGGAGCGCCCCGGCCGCCGCCGCAACCCCCCCGCACCCTCTGCCGCAGGTGAGGCCGCCCTGCCAGGGCGTCCGGATCACAGCCGCAAGGCTGGCGCCCTCCTCTGGGCGCCTCGGGACGGCGGGGGCTGTGGGACCCGGCGGGGGAGGGAGCACGGCGCGGAGTGGGGACCCGATCTGGACCCCCTAGGTAGATCCCGCTCACACCGAGACCCTCGTGCCGTCCCTGTCCGGGACAGTCGCGACAGTGGACAGGTGCGCGGAGAGCCAACTTGTGGACAGAGAGTTTCTTCCGCGTAGTTTCGAAATTGGAGTAGGGCCACTGGGGAGGAGGGGACGTGGCGACACCAGCGCGGTGATCCATAGGGACAACGCGCGGGGAAGGGAACCCAGACAAGTCGCTCGCAGCGCGATGCGTGAGGCAAGTTCTCATCCGCCGCCTCCTCCAGGACTGTTTAATCGGCCGCAGGCTCCTCTTGGAAAGGAAAGCTGGGTTAAGCAGGAGGTCTGCCTGGAGGTGGTGTCCTGTGCAGAGGCGCCAGGACTGCAGCCGGAGCAGGACACCGCTGCCTAAACTGAGATGGGGCTTCCTTGCTTGTCTTTTCCTAAACAATCCCAGGTGGCCTTTCCCAGCTGGAAGGACACTTGCTTGCACACGAGGTAGCGGGGGTGGGGTGTGGAAGTCGGGGGGCTGAGAGACCCGCCTTAGGACCCTCGCATCAGCCCTCCTGCGCTCCTGCAGGGACACGAGCCGAATCAATGTGCATCCCCCAGCCTCCCGACAGCTGGACACATACGACCTTTTCCTCGGGACTCTGTCTCAAGGTGTGCGGGTAGTCATGTCCCCATTTGCCCTTCGAGTCTGTTTCAAGACTCCGGTGTTAAGACAGTCACCATTAGACACCTGTGAGGAGGCCCGGTGCTTGTGGAGGTCAAGGTCCTCCAGGAGCGCTGAGGAGAAATTAAAGGTGAAGAATTGCCTCTGCTTTTTCTGGAGCCCAGTGATTCACCCAGCGGCCTCCCCTGAATAATAGCCCCAGCTCCTCGCCTGCCTCTGGCTGGGCTCCAAGCCACCCCAGGGTGGTGAGGCCCAGGTAGGAGCCGCCTGTGACACATCTGAGGGGTCAGGAAGGGCAGAGGAGCAGCTCCTGCTGATTTACCCTGCTTGGTTCCTCCCTCTCGACCTGTCGCCCTGGTCCACCCGCAGCACAGGTTACATTTTAATTTGCTCTTCTTATTTGGAGGGTCTGTGAACAGGTAGCTGCAGCTCCACCAAGAGCTTTAAAGTCACAACGACAGGGCAGGCTCGCTACAGTTTCCTCTGCTGGTGGCAATGGGACCGGGTCGGGTCACAGAAGAGCATGGGGTCTGTGCCGGCTACTCTGGCAGAGGGCAGAGGTGTGGGGCCCCAGCCCCCGCCTCGCCGCGCCCCGATTTCAGCCGAAGGCACCACTGAGAACCCAGTTCCCACTGGCCAGCCCCAGTGAAGGACCGGAGGCCTCACACCGTCAGACGGTCTGGTTAAACCCGAGTCCAGTCCTTCCGTTGGAGCGGGACCAGGCTGAGGGGTGGCACCATCAGCAGGAGACCCCAAGTTCACCTGAGTGAGATCCAGGTGGTCCGCATTTGAGGGTCGGGGTCGAACCTCGACGAAACCAGGGTTTCTCCCCAGGCTGCTTCTCTCCTTCCAGCCCAGTAAGGCAAAATGTTTCTCAAGTGTACTTCAGTCTTACGTGACTTTCGTGTCTGCGACTCTCCTGTGTCTCTGCTGCCTCCCGGGACCAAGGTGGCACTGGACAGTTTCAGCCACACCTGGGTGCCCCTGCCCAGCTGAGGCTTGGTGGCGCAGGCTGTCCCTCTGAGCCTGCTTGGGGAATCCATGGAGAGCAGGCCCCAACTCACGCACAACGAGGAGAGCGGGACACCTTTAAGTTAGAGAAGCGTGGTTGGGGCCGGCTCAGAAGGGGTGGGAAGCCGGGGGTCTGGTCAGGAGTATGACGAGGTGGGACCTCACTCAGACGGTCGAGCTGTAACTCTGCGTAAGCGCAGACGGCGCAGGTCCTGGGGCGGAGAGGCCGCTGCCTCATGGCGGACTGACCCCTGGCCCCGCGCCCCTTGCACTAAGGGGTGCGTTACCCCGGCAACCTTCCGTTCTTCCACGTCCGTCCCCTTGCAGGGCGTCCCTGGGAAACCACTGAGTGAAATGAGGGATTTTACTTTTCATAAAGTGCCTCTTTAGGGACACTTCTAAATCTCTAGCCCACGATAAAAACGCACAGCTCCAGCACCTACCCAGACGGGCAGCCGTGGGCGCAGGGCGGTCCGTGCACACACCGCTCCCCAGAATCCGCGCCCACAGCGGCTTTTCTCCACGGACAGAAAGTTCCCAGCCCGCCCGTCTTCACACAGAAGGAAGGGGAGCCCTTTGCGAAATTTTAATTTGGGGTGCCTCGAATGTACACTTTTCCACTGGTGAGAAGCACTTCACTGGCACACCCCGAGTCCACGACAGTGCGTCGAAATAGTTTAAGGAAAGTGGCTCTATGGGCCTCTGCAGCGAGGTCGCCCCGCTAGGCTCAGTCCCAGGGGAAAAGCCCGGAACTTGAAGTGAGAAAGCAGGGCTGACCTGGCCCCGGAATACTGTTTGTCCGGTGCCAGGTGACCGGCGCTGGGCCGGGAGGACCCAGGGGGTGTCTGCGAGGGGCCCCTCATCACAGATTAGTGCCTCTGAGTTAGGGGCGCTTTTGCTCGTCCCGTCCCCGCGCCCCCCCATTTTTGTTATGTGCCAAATACAGGTGAATGGCCACCCTTTGTCGTAGGACAGGAAACAGGCTCAAGGCTGGTGGGGGACGCTCCCCTTCATCCTGTGGCTAAGTTGGTCTGGTTTTTGCCTTTTTGGTGACATTGGGTGAGAGCTGGCGTTCGTTTGCACAGGAAAAGATCTGAGGTGAGTCACCCGGGTTCTGTCCTGAAGTCACCCCTCCCTCCTGCTCCTTTTGTCTGTCCAGGGCACCCGGCCCAGAGCAGGAGATGGATTGGGGCGCTTTGCAGACCATTCTCGGGGGCGTGAACAAGCACTCCACCAGCATCGGGAAGATCTGGCTCACCGTCCTCTTCATCTTCCGCATCATGATCCTCGTGGTGGCCGCGAAGGAGGTGTGGGGTGACGAGCAGGCCGACTTCACCTGCAACACCCAGCAGCCGGGCTGCAAGAACGTCTGCTACGACCACTTCTTCCCGGTGTCCCACATCCGGCTCTGGGCGCTGCAGCTCATCTTCGTGTCCACGCCCGCCCTGCTGGTGGCCATGCACGTGGCCTACCGCCGACACGAGAAGAAAAGGAAGTTCATCAAGGGAGAGATAAAGACTGAGTTCAAAGACCTCGAGGAGATCAAGACGCAGAAGGTCCGCATCGAAGGCTCGCTGTGGTGGACCTACACCAGCAGCATCTTCTTCCGCGTCGTCTTCGAGGCCGCCTTCATGTACGTCTTCTACATCATGTACGATGGGTTCGCCATGCAGCGCTTGGTGAAGTGTAACGCGTGGCCCTGCCCCAACACGGTGGACTGCTTCGTCTCCAGGCCCACGGAGAAGACCGTCTTCACCGTGTTCATGGTTGCGGTGTCCGGGATTTGCATCCTGCTAAATGTCACCGAACTGTGTTATTTGCTAATCAGATATTGTTCTGGAAAGTCCAAAAAACCAGTTTAGAGAGAAAAAAAAATCGACTGCTCGAAAAGGATGAGGCAACCCGGGCTCAGCTGTCAAGGCAGAGTCACCGGCAATTTCCCCAAGACCGAGATTCTTATCTTAAACATCTTCAACGCGACCATTTGAAACTTCTGTAGCTCTCACGTGAAACAGCAAGCTGGCAGTCTTCTCTCCCAGAGCCAAAGAACCGAAGCTTGGCCCCAGGCCGCACTGATTTCTACTCAGATTAGTTCCCTGCTGGCAGCTTGTCAGAGCACGGTAGTTCCATATTTTGGAGAAAGGGTATTGGCGTTTGTTTCTCTTTCTTTGTGGGAAGGGGAGAAATGCCAGGTTCTAAAGAGCAGGCTGGGACTGTTTGGTCACCCCCCTGAGAGCCCCCTTTGCCATTTCTCCCCGAATTAAAGGTAAACATAGAGAGTCTTGGCTCTTTTATTCGCTTTGGGAGTTTTTAATGCTTCCAACTCTGTTACACGTTTTTTCAGTGAACCCTTTAAAATGAGGTATGTTTTTTTTATCCCCAAGATGTTCTGAAAACCATCCCATGCTGTCTCCTGTTTCAGAGGCTGATTGTGATATGTGAACGGTATGTAATCAGATACTGCCATTGAATTTAAAATACGGCCTCTTCCCTGTGCCACCGCGTTAACTGAGGTGACAGAAGCATTTCGGCCTCTCTCACGTGAAACAGACCAGAAGTTCTTAGCACTGGCTTCTGACAGCAAATGGCCTCATCTCACAATTTTAGGTATCATTTTGCAGGACAAATACAGGCTGGATGTACCACCAACTGCCACCAACTACAGGCGAGCTCAAGACACCTGTGTCTTCTGTCGGTGTCTGCCTTTTCCATGACTGTGGGACGGGGAAGGACGTGAATTTAGAGAGCCGGCTTGGGAATGTTTTGTGTCCACAGCACAGTCTAATGGTGCAGAACAAAATGGGGAGGGAGGTAGTGACTGTTTCTAAAGAACAGGTAGAAAGACTGGACTCTAAACTCTGCTGATTAAAAATGCGTTTCGTCTTCTTCAAAGTTCCTTTGCTTCTCTCTTCAGCTTTCCATTTCCTTAAGTGAAAAGAGAATTAATGAATCTTTTAAAAAAAAAAAAATAGAATCTGCAGTTTAGGGAAATATTTAGCAGTTCTATAGGATAAATGGAACTCTAATGTTATTATGCTTGAATGGCGTCCAAAAAATGGTACTGGGTACACTTCACTAACGGTCAGCATTTTCCTTTTGCCAAAAAAGACGTTGTAAAAACATTTTGTAATAGAAAATAAGAACTTTAATTACATGCTGGTAACTGAGATGATTTTGTAATGTCTCAAAGTCATTTAAAATATTAAAATATTATTACTTCATGTAATACCTCTATAAAATCTATTTCAGTTTTTAATAGAATAGCAGACTTAAATGTTGTCTATAGTCAATTTTTTTAAGGAGGCCAATATTTTAGACATTATAACACCGAAGGGAGGCATTCCCAGGGTGTCTGACCACCATCCTGAGCCTCTTCTGCCCAGTCACAGAGCAGCTTCTGTCACCGGAAAGCGTGGAGGGTAAGGGATGAGGAAATCTGATTTCTGCCCGGCTCTGTGCCCACCCCCAACAGGTTTTTGACAAACACACACAGTGTGATGGGAGGATTGGTTGTGCAGCTTGGGTTCACAGGACCAGTTTGGCCTCTAGAAGAATCATGGAAGATGACACTCCAAAATTACATTCATGGCGAAGGTCGGCTGAGGTGTGAGAAAGATCCCGCAAGTTGTCTTTCGTGCAGGATCATCCTTCTGGTATTTGTGTGCAGTCACAGCGGGTCTTAGGGACCTGCCTTTCCCTCCTCACTGCCACCTTCCCCGGGAAATGAATCCAAGCGCTCAGCTGTCCCTGCATGGGGGACTGCCTGCTGCTACCTGTTGCCACCTGCTGCCACCTGCAGGCCTGCCTGGCCTCGGACACTGTCCCCGGACAGCCAGCACCCGCTCTGTCCTGCCACCAGGCAGGAGCCTTCAGTCCGAGGCCTTCAAAGCGTTTTCCACATCAATGATTATGAGGATTTTTATGGAGAACCACACACTTTTAAATAAATTAAAGGGATCCAAACCAGCCAATTTTCAGCCAGGTGTTGGAAAAGGGGCAAGAAATCGTCCCTACCCCCCGACGTGCTCTGTACGTGGCCTGTTCAAACAGCGCACGGGTGTGAACAGATGTGTTCGCTCTCACGAACGCAAAGAGGGTGGCTCTCAAGGTATGAAAAGGCTGGGTCACAATAATTACAGACCACTTTTGACCCCTTTTATGAACCTGAAGAGAGATCTGGCCCCAGGCCCAGAAATTAGAGCGTGGGTTCTGGGAATGACCATCCCGAGCATCCACCTCAAATCGCCATTCGTAGTTTGTACTAGGTAGGAAAAGGCTGTCGTTTGTGTCTCATGATTCCGCCCGAGAATTCCGTGTCAGGTTGGCCACGTTGAGCCCGGGCCTCAGGGGCCAGCCTTCAGCCCCCACCCCCACCCCGCCCGCCCCACTATGCCGGCTGAGCATCAGCGTCCCGCGTTCAGGCCCTGGGTATCCACCTCAAATCGCCATTCGTAGTTTGTACTAGGTAGGAAAAGGCTGTCGTTTGTGTCTCATGATTCCGCCCGAGAATTCCGTGTCAGGTTGGCCACGTTGAGCCCGGGCCTCAGGGGCCAGCCTTCGGCCCCCACCCCCACCCCGCCCGCCCCACCCTGCCGGCTGAGCATCAGCGTCCCACGTTCAGGCCCTGGGTGCAGCTGCTACCTGCCTTGTGGGAGGCGCGGTGATAAGCCGAGATTCGTGGTCACGACCAACTCCACTGCAGGTGTCAGACCTGGGCCACGATCGGTATGGTTGGAGCAGGAAGGACAGACATGGTCTTCTCCAGGGGGCCTGGGCCCGAGCTGCCATCACGGACCCAAGGGCCAACTCGGGAGCAGCGGCGGCCTGCCGAGAGGGTCTGCCGTGGACGTTCAGGGCTCCCGTTCCTCCAGACCCCAACTTCCTCACCTCAGAGTGGGCTCACTGAGTACCGCGCAAGGCTGATGATGATCAGGTAAGGTAATTGACGTAAAAAACCCCCATGTAGCAAAGCGCTGCATAAAACCTCATCATCTCTTTCCCATCAGACAGATCCCAAGCTGGAAAGATGACAAATGGCAATGGAGATAGCAATGACTTGAGCAAAACTGGACCAACCGGAAGCTTGAAAAGGTGCACATGTACGCGACCCCTGAACTGGCACAATAGGGGGACACTGGCCACATAGGATGAGAGAGCCGTGTCCGAGGGCACACGTAGCCGCACAGGTCAGGTGATGACAGCTGCGTCGCTCTGTCTTACAGAAAGAACAACACCGTGACACAGAGGCATCGGTTCACCTAGTCAGGGTCCCTGGATCCCTTCCATCCGTGTGGTGGGCGCCGGGGTGCAGCTGCCTCCAGGCCGGACCACCCCCGTGGACCGGATCAGGAAGCTGAGCTCGGGCTCAGAGCATCACGCGCCAAGGCCGGTGGTGGATGTCCCCACCACACAGAGGACAGAGACGCACCTACTCGACTCCCCCTCGGCCATTTCACCCCTGCAGCCAGGAGGGACTCCCGGCCCGCCCAGCGCTGACGGGTTGGGCAGGCTGTCCCACCTGCACGGGACACACCGTGCACACTATCCCTGCACATCTCCGATGACTCCTTTGCTCAGCCAATATTTCCTGAGTGCCACCGAGTGCCGGCCACCATTGGGCACCGGGACCAACCAAACCTGTGCCTTCGTGTTGCAGGAGACAGGCTATGGGCGTATCCCTGCAGGTTGTCCGTGCTGCAGATGGTGCAGGGGAGGAACCAGCAGAAGGGACATGTCAGGGCAGAGAAAATCGTCCTTCAGTATTGGGCAGCCAGGGAGGGCCTCTCTGCCAGGCGATGGGGAAGCAGGCCCAGCGGCCTCTCAGGGAAAGCGGTCCAGTGGAGGGAGGGGCGCCCACCGACCCCAGAGTCAAGGGCAGAGCGGGGCAGGCAGGCCACAGAGGGCGGGCAGTGCAGGTGGACTCGTGGCGGCTGGCTGGGATGTCCATGCGGGCTCTGCCTCCGGCGGGCCCGCACGAGTGCCCTTCCCGCCAAGAACCTGGGGTAGCTGACAGCAGATCCCAGCTGTGACAGCATCGCCACTGGCGCGGTCTAAGCTGGTGTCAGCTGTCTAAAAGCCGCATCGCCTTTCCTCATTTTCAATGGGAAGGCCACCAACGTGATTCATGCAGCTATGGAATCAGAATATGATTCCATATTCTGCGTTGACAAGCGAATGCCAAAAGGTAAAGTCAAAAGTGGAAGTCCCGCATCTTCTCAGTACGAACACCTGGTGTACCTCCCAGCCTAGGTCCTCTGCCATCGCGGACACTCGCGCGCACACACACACACGCGCGCGCGCGCGCACGCACACACACACCACAGTTTGCATTCTTACAGAACTCTCCTGTGGCAGTTTCTCAGTTACTAATGGGCCTTGGAGGTCTCAGCCCGTCAGTGGTCGGTACCAACAGGCCTTCCTGCTCTGTGGGACAGATGCGCACGCCCTGCAGAATGCGCGCGCCCAAGGCCGCGCGCCATCTCCTTGGTTCCGCGGTTACACAGTCCGAGTTTCCCAAACGGAACCCTCCCGGCCCCCCACCCCCATCTCGCCAGAGTTCCCTTCTTCCCGCGTGTGGCGGGCCATTTTCCAGCCCATAGAGGGCTCTCCGTTTCCCTGTTAAACTTCATTGCTGATTTGGGCTGATCCCTCTGGCCTGTCCAGGTCTTTCCGTGTCTGTTTTCCGTCCATTAGCAATTTCTTCCAAATTTACGTCATCTGTCAGTTTAAATAGCCTGCTCTCCCTATGGTCACTTAAACCAATAAAAATTTTGACTGTGGAATAATGCCAGCAAGGCTTCCCTTCTCGCTAACGTCAGCGCATTCACCGCGCAAAGTGAGCCCGCCAGAGTCTTGAGGATAAACACACTTAGCAGCGTTTTCATCACCAGCCAGGTCCAGACCTGAACCGCGCGGGCCGCCGCTCGCTGCCGCCACCTGCTGTGCGCAGGGGAAACTGCAGGGCGCCGCCTCCTCCCGGTTCCCGGGGCCCCGTGGGGGGTGGGGACCCGCCCGCGC